CAAACGTACAATTGTGTTTCATAATGTCGTTTGGTTTAATAAACTGTGTTTATTGTATCACATTATTTTACAGCCCATTCGATGAGATATGTGGCGTCATTTGTCAATTCGGCGGAGACCCGTCCAACTTCCAAGCCGACGTTTAGCCCTGGCGCAAGAATGGTGCTTACTACAACGAACGCGGCCTACTTAGAAATGGCCGAAAACATGCTGGCAAGCATCCAACGAATTAGAACCCCTTCTTTCCCCAACGTCACCGTTATCGCCGAAGACGAGCAGTCTTACGAATACATGACAAACCTGACGACATTCCACCAGGGATTGATTGTGCAGAAAACCAACGCGGGAATGACTTCCTCCGAAAACCTCAAGTTGAGTCCTAAGGCATACCAACAATTTGTAAATCGACGTCCACGGTATGTACTGGAATTACTCGAGAAGGGTCATGATGTGCTCTTTGCCGACGCCGATACCTTTTGGCGCAAAGATCCGTTCAAAGATTTTGAGGGAGACTTTGATATTGCCGCGCATGACGAGGTCGATCGTCCCAAAACCCATGTATTTTGTGACGGTTTCGCCTATTATCACCAAACAAATAACACAATTAGTCTTGTAAGGGAATGGGTGAAATTGTTAGATACAACGGATAAGAACACCTTAGATCAAACTGTTTTTAACCGCCTGATCAATCGAGAGCTAGATAAGAATGTCACCGGGGGGTTGAAAATGAAGACACTGGATCCTGTCAAGTACCCGGACGGCATATTGTACTATCGTGTCCCTGGCTGGAGAGACGAACACATTAACCAAACGGTTGTAATGCATTTCACTTATGTTCATGAACTTGACTCCAAAGTGGAGGAGATGAAAAAACTTGGTTGGTGGTTAGTTTAAAAATACGGTAAGGTCGTTAAACTGTCTTAATACACTCGGCAAAAAAAATGAACTGAAAAAGATTATGTAACGGTATACGGTAAATGTTTCACATTTTTGGATTCCAGACGCTCTTTAGTGCAATCTGAGGTAATTTCTGACTAATTTAAAGGGAATGTACAACATTTGCTTTTGCTGCAATTTTCTGAAATAAATGGATTTGAAGGAGTATGTTATGGCAAATATTGTTAAGCTGACTCGTATCACGTTTTGGGCTTGTAGATGCTGGAAAAACCAAGAAAACCAATCATGTTCTTGTAGTCTGGTTCCCTGACCCCTCTTTAGATGAAACGGAGCAATTTATAGACTTTGGGGAATTGTAAGGTCAAAGAATCAGTCTACCAGGCTCTTGTACCATTAAAGCTCTGTCACGAACATTACATAACACTGGAATAGCCCTTATGCCTTGTAAGACCCCATCTGGAATATGCATCGGTCATCTGCGATCCCCATACAAAAACCCACATAACCAGGATCAAACAAAGTCAAAGGAGGGCAGCGAGATTTGTGAAGAACAAAAATTATGAACATTCACCTGGGACTGTAACCAGACTCCTATTAGCTTATTCGAGGTATGGCAGACACAACTGGAGGGCGCTGTTTGTGAAGAACAAAAATTATGAAAATTCACGTGGGACTAGTAACCAGACTCCTATTAGCCTATTCGAGGTATGCCACACACAATAGGAGGGCGCTGTTTGATTTGGGTAAAGTCTTTCGTATTTATCTAAACCAAACAGCGCCTTCCTGTTGTGTCTGCCGTACCTTAAATAGGCTAATTCGGGCGATTCACAATGCAGTGCGCCACCAAAAGTTTGCCACGGAGAGTTCATTTTTCCCAGTGCATTGTGCATGTGGGAGATAGTCGACAAATTCGCAGCGCGGTACATTTGAAATTGTTATTTTTTTCCGGTCAGTAGTTTCGTAAGCGTTTGATTCCAGTATAATTTTATGTTTCCCTTTTCTTTTCTTTTTTATCAATATGGTGTTTTTTGTAAAACGGCAAAACACTTTGCCCCAATCTATAACAAATTAGCTCAAGTTGTCTACTGACACTCAATCAAATGGGCCATGTTTTGTCGACCGTAAACTTGAAAAATTGACTCTCCAAGACAATCTCTGGCGCACTGCATTGTGAATCGCCCGAATTAGAACTTGATTGGCCTTTGCTCCAGAAAAAAAGGCGGCACGTTGCCACGCTTGCTGCTCCATGCTGTACTCTACAAAATCACCCATGATGACTCCAGTGACCCGACAAGGCCTGCGTCACTTTAACAGCACCAACGATCAAGTTCCACTCACAATTCAGTCTCAACTGCTCGTTCCATCAAGGTGTGGAATACTTTACCAGACTCAAGTTGTCACTCACCAAATATTGACAACTTGAGATCAAGCTGCATGAAATGCAACTAGTAAGTGTTCACGCCAACCCCGCACATGCCTGGCTTTTACGCTCAAAGAAGAGCGCCATCTAGAAACGAGCAGAAGCAAAGGTAGGGCCTTTGTAGCCTCAATTTTCCATTCATCTCGATTCATTACTAGTGCTGCTTCTTTATCAATAGTCCAATCTGGGTACGCTGTCACTTCTTTCGCCATTGAAGGGGGCCACATTGAGTGTGAAGTGATCACGTGCCTGGATTCGGCTATTGGTTGGTACAAAATGACCATCTTTTATTGGGTCACATTCGCATTCTGAACTTTGTGCTTACTACCTAATGTTTATTTTCAAAACCTCCCCTCCCCCCCAAAAAAATACAATTTTTTTTACCCAGAAAATCTGCACAAAATCATCGGATTTTCTGGATAACTTTTATATGCCACAATTTCCCAGGAGATTTTTGGGGAATTGTGTTTTGGGGACTCTTGGGTATCTTTCCTGCAATTCCCAAGCTATTTCACTTTCAAAAAATTCAGCCAACACCCACCCCCCCCCCCCCCCAAAAAAAATCACATTTAATCTAGAAACGACTCAGAAATTCCTTTCGATGCAAGTTAAACATGTTTTAATACTTCTTAGCTGACCATTTGGGAAGAATAAACGATTTATGGGAGACAAAAAAATCGCGCCCTCAATACGTTTCTGAAGTTGCGACGGCTTTTGTATAGTGCGCCCTCTGTATTCTGTAACTGTTGAGTTGTTCGTTATCTTTGTTGGAATTTTTGTGGGTGGGGAAAATAATACTCTATTAGCAACTTCACAGTTATGCAGTAAGCAGCTCTTCCACATTGTTGAAACCTGTTGCTAAACCGTATTTCCACAATGTTTGGCTATTAGTATAAACATGTACTAAAAAAATTAATTGATAAATAACTTGACCGTGTCTTCAACTCTGCTTCTCCAACATTTCTCTGCCGGTTCCGCGGTGTTCACATTGAGAATAATAAATATTCAATGGTCAAAAGCAGTCTGTTGACTTGTTATATCATCTAGTTTTTTCTAAGATTTTAGGGGAATTTCGATCTATTTTATGTTGTAAATTTTAATAGTAAAAGCTGTTGGCTCCGTTTGTCGAATGCACACACACACGTTCGTTTGAAATATTCCATGAACATGAAGAACACTGGCTATGCGCCAAAAAACCCCACTGTAATCGAATGCGTGTGTTAGAGGTATGCTCGGAATTTCCTGGGTAGCACTGCCAAAGTTCCAAGACTGAATTTGATTCATCGGGTCGCGGCGGCTTGACCGCGCGTTTCAGTGATTAGCTGCATTAGGTGAATAAAATACAACAAACCAGTCTTGGACAGAGACTATTATAGGTGTATAAAGTACAAACCAAGTACTCCTGCTTGTTGTGGTGTGGTTCACGAAGAGAGTCTACTAAATCTCGAACCAGTCAAGTGCTGAAGGGTTAGTCTCCTCTCGAGACACCCATGGCATGACGCACGGACTCGGAGGCTACACACTGACACCGCCACACCGGGAGCTGAATGCCGTGAGTGATCGACGTAATCCGCAGTTGTGTAAAAAGGCCGTGCCGATGACGCGACTAGAAAGGACTAGCGCTGACCGCCCATCCAACGCACCAGTGAGCATTTGAGGTCCGAGCGGGGGATGGGACAAAACACGTGAATGGCATGACAGCTCACTATTATTCAAAAGGCTCCCTGTGGAAACAGTTGCAAGAATAGGGTCCGTTGTTGGAGGCTACTTCAGATGCTTTTACTCAGCGCTCCTTCACTCTTTATCTGATTGCACGGTGGTGTTAATGTTGGACGAATCTTTTGGTGGAATCGCCTGGTGGTAGTTTTATAGCTCCATGTTTAGACCCGTTCACGAGGGAAGTTCTAAACGGAGATAACTTTGTTAAAAGCTGACGGGGTCGAGTTGTATGATGCGCCATTGGTGAGACTGTGGAAGTGTAACACGATGCGGCTTGGAGGAAGCATACTGTACATGATTGTAATAGGTTAATGAGATCGCGATCTTTCCCTATATATTGCACCGTAGTCAACTATATTGGTCCAGCGAGGGCTATGATTGGTCAGACGTCAGGATTTTTGGGCGGTGAAATATTACACAAAGCCTTTCGGTTTGTTCATAAAGGAGCGAATCGACACAGCTATAGCTAGACGCATTTGTTAAGAAATATATACAAAAATTGGATGTGCCACTAGGAGTTCATCCAAAATCGTGTAACGTGGTATGGGATTTTCCAGTGCGGTAACCGCGTGCGAAGCTCAGCTAGACTTGGTTTTTAGCTCTCCGCCTGGTTAGCACACTCACGGGGATTGGAGCTGATGGTTTGATTGTTTTCCAACACCGGTATCACCGATGCTGAGCGACCGGACTGTTGTGCCCCTGGTCGGCTACGGCGGTATCAGTTTCAGAGGAGGCGGCAAACACGAACTTCAAACTCCAACCCGTCTGATTGGAAGTGACACACTAAGGCCGGACGGCCTGGCAAACCAACCGGAATTTCTTCCTTTCTTGCCGTGAATCCGATTTCTTCTGAACTCCTCTACTTTTGGGACGCTGAGTTTTTTTTCCACAGTGAGGGTACGTATCGTCAACAAGGTGCCGTTTGGGTTTTTGACTTCTTCACGAGACCGCGAATGCCCTTGGAATGGGTCATTGGTCGGGATTTACACATCACGGCAGAACTGTCAAACTCAACTCGGGGATAATGCTGGGAGGAGCGGTGGTACGGGTTCTGGTGATCTTAGCGGCTCGCTCCTTGGTCATGCTGCCGTGCTGGACCCACGTGGGCACCCAGGCCGTCCCGGCGCTGCAGTCGGTGCCCCGGGAACCCGAGGCTCCCCCGAGGGTCGACCCGGCAGCCGCAGCCGCCAACCTCCCAAACCAGCGCTTGGAATACATAGAGATGAACGGTTATCCGGAGGAGGAACAAGACGGGGAAGAAGATTCCAGCTACACCTCGGATGTGGTAAGTCCACATCTACCTCTCTTTTCTTCGGTCATTTTAATCCCTGTGCGTAATCCTTGCATATCAATGGAGGTGTTGACTGAGGGTGATCCCAATACGTGTGTGGACTTTTTCTGTCTCCCCTGCTTGCTGACGGCGCGGCGAGCCGCAAGCGCGAAGCCGTGAAACCACGGTGTGGGCCCATTGACATGCTTGGCGGGCCGTGGACATTCTATAAGCGCTTAAATCTATTTTTCAAACATTTTCTCAATGGCGTTGGAGGGTTTGCTCAGCGGGGCTTCAGTGTTCCTTGAATGGGGGAAATGCTCGCGGAGTGTTGTCGCATCGCCACGGCCACTCCTCGCTAGAGAACGGCCTTCCCTGCACACAATAGTGTTTGAGTTTACTTAACTCATTTCGCAGGTTTCCTCGAAGTGGGAGGCCTAGTTAAAAAAATGCTTTAGTCATTTTCTCCTTAAATCGGAGGATTGCATTGTTTTTAAATTTTATTTGCATGCATTTTTTCTCAAAGCCTCAGTGATTTCTGTAGACTGTAGAATGGTAAAGATAATTTTTAAAAGATTTCAGAAATATACCGTAGTTTATACACCAGAAATAGAAAACAATAATTAATTAATTTTGTGAGGAAAATATACAGACTGGACCAAATTTATAGGGCCTGGCTAAACAAATTTGAGATTTAAATTACTGCTATATTGGCTGAGAACTGGGACAAATGACACTGTACATTACATGTGATTGTAGTTTTGTAGTTGGCAACGTGCATTTTCACTGCACCTTTTTAGCTGCGCGATGCGGGATAGTAGATCAACAAATCATCATGTTTGTCCGTTAGTTGGTTAGAAACAAACGTTGACATTGTCTATTGCTCCTACACATTTTGACCGATTTCATCCAAACTTTGTCCAAAGTATCAGTAGCCCAGCCCCAACATGTCACACGACCAACCTGGGGTCAAAGGTCATCATGGGGTCACTGGGGTCAAAAACCTGATTTTTTTTAAAACTCAAAACACTACTTCCAGAAATTACTTGGCACAATCACATGACTCATCCATGAACACCAATTCGTTGGCCCACAGCTTCCGAGATATTCCGATCGAGCTTGTTTTGCTATAACTAAAGCCGTGCCTTTAGAAGCAGTTCACTTCAGGCTAAGCTATTTCGGTTCAAGCACGAACCATTGTGTAAATCGTCCGTGGTTCAAGTGCCCCACAAGACAAATCCATTTGCGAAAGTCGGTTGTAATGCGAAATGCATCATTAAACTAAAGCGATATGTGCTATTGAGTATAAATTTCGGCATTTATTCAAAATTTGGCAACCAGCTCACCAGTTCACCCTACTGGTTAACTACCCCCCCCCCCCCACGACTGACCAATGATAATTGATAACGTAATGGAAAATATGAATTTCTTTTTAGTTCCCCAAATAACATCATTACTTAATACTGCAAATCTTGACTCCTATCATAGCTTCAGGCCTTTGACCTTTTATGCGTTGTCTGCAACCCCCCATCCACCCCCTAGTCTGAGCCTAGCACCCGTTGACCAACGGAGCCTCTGTCTCCTGTCCAACGTCGGATACATCCAAGCATGCACATCAATGGACACCACGCTCCAGGCGAATCGGAGTCGACATGACGTCATTTTCATTCCGAAATCTGGACTAAGCTGTTGATTGGTCAATTTGGATGCCATGCTTTTGTAATACAACAACGGGCACAGAGATCTTATGAAACCCGCTTTCAAAACGGGTTACTGAAGACCTGATATAGAAGGCGCCCGCTGAATGGTCAGAATCTCAAGGTCAAGACGCAGTCTAGTTGCATAATGGCCGAATCTGCTCGCATATCATAGACCCTTGCTGTGCATGGGGAGGATATTCCACAGACTATCCACCCCCCCCCCTTGAAAAATCCTGGACTTCAGTTCAACAATGCACCCCAGCCAGCCCCCTTTGGTAAATCTTGGATCCACCACTGCACCCCGTCAACCTGATGTGAATCTTTATGCTGTTCATCTTTTGGATTTCTGCAATATTTTTCCACCGTACAGGGGGGGGGGGGGAGCTTGGGAGTGAATGCCGCATGTATAACCGATTATCGCAGATTCCTTCTCACGGTTCATCGACCTGTTAATCCTTAAAACGCACGCTTGAGTGGCGTCGATATATTTCCTCGTCTCCGTTTTCTTCAAAGAATATCAGAAATGGAAACCTGATTTGAGCGAAGGAAAATGCTACCGCAAGACCCACAAATATTCCGCGGTGCGTGGAGGTACGTGCCCAGCATGCGTGTTGTTCCGAGTCGCGGGGCGGTCCCATAGGTCCGCGACCAGACCCTGGGGCGGAATTTAACCTCATCTGAAATTGACGTCTTCGTCTGGTCACCTTTATACCATTTTCTGTGTCATGGTGTTTATAAGCCTCGGCCTAGCCTCGGCTTCGGTTCGAAAGTTTTGTTGGTAGCACCCAGACTTAAGGGGGAAACTCCAGCTCGATATAGCCCATGTGCCAAACAAGAACTGAAAAAAAATCCCATTCTATTACTAGAAATGACTTCCAGCGAATAGCCATTCTGAATCAGTTGAATAGAATATTGTGCGTACCCTGGACTTATTAATGGTAATGAAACCAAGGATTCCTCAAAAGCGCCCCAGGCTTAAACTCGCAAGCCTGAGGAAACCTGTGGAGAGAAGACGGTGTGAAGAAATTTAGAGGTGAGAGGAAAACCCCAGAAGAATATTCTGGGGAAAACCCAAGGAATCAGGTAGGGACTGAAAACCCATGGAATCAGTTCTACAATCCACATGTCGTCAGGGCAGGAATCGAACCCGGGTCACAGCGGTGGAAGGCGAGTAAAGAGCCGCTGCGCCTTGTCAGCTAGGTAGAACATTTCATGTTCTCACTCGCTCCTTCGCATCTTAAAGAGTTTGTTTGCTGGCCGTACCGACTAACTCACAGACTGAATCTCACTTGTGAATTAGACTTACATACGTCTAACCTCGTCCCAAAAAGCTGATTTGTGATTTCGCATCGTGGCCCACTGAAAACACATCCCTTCAGTGCTGGTTCCCGAGTGCCAGCCTTCAGCCCTCTTTGTACCTGACTGACTGACTGACTGTCACTTGTAATTTAGACTTGCATAAGTCTAACTTCGGCCCGAAAACCTGATTAGTGATTTCTCATATTGCCCCCAAAGAAAAAAATACACCTTGCTGGTCCCCGAGTGCCAGCCTTCAGCCTTCTTTGTACCTGACTGACCCACTGACTGACTGTCACTTGAAAATTAGACTTGCATAAGTCTAACTTCTGCCAAAAAAAAATCAGATTTATGCCACATCTTGGCTCAAACATATACATTTGCTGGTCTCTGAGTGCCAGCCTTCAGCCTTCTTTAAACCTGACTGACCCACTGACTGACTGTCACTTGTAAATAAGAATTGCTCAAACCTCACATTGACCCCCGAAAATTGACTGACTGTAGTAGTAGTAGTATGGTAGATAGGTGATGGAATTGTGCCTTTGGTGATACAAGCATGGCATAGACACACATTCAACGGAATGGCATGAGAAATATATTTGGCCACAGGGCCATCGCAGATTTGTCCTTTGACAAAAATATAGGTAGAATAACAAGCAATTTTCTAAATTTTCAAAATGGCTGCCATTGCTTGTTATTCTACCTATAGTTTTTTTCAAAGGACAAATCTGCGATGGCCGTATAGCCAAATATCTTTCTTAAGACATACTCTGACTGTGTGCCAAATGCCATGCTTGTACCATCAAAGGCACAATTCTCCTAAATATCCCCCTTATCTGCCCCACTACAGGGCCTACCCCTCACACCAAATTGGTCTGAAAACAGCTTTAATAGGTCTGCCTATAGTCTTGTTTTGTTATTTTTCTAAATAGACGGACTGATGTGATTGGGAGTGTCAGTCAACTATGTTCCCTTTACTTGGCCGTAGGAGTTGAGTGTAACCTACGTGAACTATGCATGTTTCCTTCAATGCATTAACGCAGCGGGTCGCGGTTAACTGAAATGTGTCACGCGGCGCTTGAAATCTTGGAGGGAGTCGGGGGAAAGTTTGTGGGAACTAGGTCTTCGGATGCAAGGAAAACAGACAGACTAAACACACTTGATCACTCGGGGAAAAGACAAATTGAGTCTACGGATTGTGACTGGAGTTTTGCTGTGGTTTTTTTTGCCCTAGGGCCGAAATGTCAAAGCTTGACAAGCCAGAAGTTTTCAAACTCAAATTTCAATTTTCAATATCTTTTTTAGAATTATTGGTGAAATATTAAAATACACATAGACATTGTACATTGACATGAATTGTGACATACAACCATGACAAAATCTGGATTTTTTTTAGAACATACCAAATGCACATACATGTAGATACAAATACATGAATGTGTAAAACAATTGTGGCTATTATTTTATGTAACCCCCATTGTTATGTAATAGCCTTTAGATTAAAAACGATTCATACAATGTGCTCGATATACAATGTATTAATAAACAATAATTTTCACAAAACTATAAAAGAAACAACTTGCTCATTCTTCACACGAAACTTCGGCCGGCGTGATGACTATATCCAACAACATCTTAAAATTTCTGATTATTATTATGAGGAATAAATCCCAACAAAAGTTTTTTTAAGGTTAGCATTCCCCAACTCTTGTGGGACACGTGGCTGCTGGACCATTGCCAATTTAGTTGGCTGGCAATTTACCAAGGTACACACCCGCATAAAAGATAGCGGCACCAAACAGAAGCGTATTACCGTTATCCAGTACCGGTAGTAGGGACCCGTGTGTCCACTTATTAACACCCGCAAGTGTTAATCGCTCTTTACACTTAACACCTATTAGTAACGGTGGTTATCTTGTTGGCTGGTGGGCAAAGAAATCAACCCACGGTCTGAAAAAATAGAGTATGACGGTATTAGTGCTGAGTGCTGACCAGTAAAATCCCAATAGACAACAGTGA